CAAAATGTTGGCGCAATGGCCACATTAGGGAATTCGCGGTCAGTAATACATTTTCATATCAAAAGTCATATGCGTTTTTAAGATAATAAGCAAAAACGATTTTATGCATTGTTACGTACTACATTTATTTGGATTTCGACCACTTTTTGCCTTACTACACCCAAAAAACGCTCACACATTTTATGTTGCTTTCTCTGCCAAGTGCACGTTTTGGCATACTCAACATGATGTTGGGCATTTGCCATGGAGGCGGGCCAGGTCGTTCGCGGCGCTGCACGATAACTGGCAGCTATGCACTGTGTTATGCCAACATCCGCTTGCTTCATAATCCATACTGGAGTGCGATCTTGCTTTTGGTGACTGCAGGGTTGGGGCTTGCAACCACATCTTACACTGCAGATATGCTCGCCTTTATTGCTGTTCTCGTAGCCGTTGATGGAACAGCCACACAGCTGGTGAAGTCCAGTTCTTGGTTGGAGTGGTGGTACTGCCTCCCCATCGATATTCATCTGAAAGTCAACAGTCTGTCTTCTTTAATCCAGACACGACGAAACTTTTCAGCTTGCTTGTTATCTGTCGGTGGACAGTTCTTTATACACCAAACCTGTCCAGTAGGAGAGATCCTATGGCATGATTTCAAGCCAACAACTTTGGACCACTATTGCTAGGTTACTGGTCGCAACCGCCTGAGAGCAAGGAATAGCTAGGAGACCACGACACTCAAACCGTTGTCCAGTTGATCAACCTAAGAGTGGACTGGTACAGCTTTTCTTTGCTTTTCCGGTTACCAAGCCTTCACATTAGAGTTTTTGTTAGTTGCCAGCGTTTTTTGTTGAAGGGAAATGCAGGTGACAAAGACATCTGGTCACTGTCAGGTGACGTCCAACCAAGACTGATGTGAACCCCCGTGTTTTCACAACCCCATCATTAATATGGAACATTGATTTCTGTCGTCGGCTTCTTTCTTGGTTGCCTTTGAGAGCCTCTGCCGATTCTGTGTTTTCCAGTGCAGCTAAACAGATTTCCTGCATTCACTCCCATATACTCCTCAAAGAAATCTCCTTGTCCGCACTCACATTCTGCCAGCATCCACTTGAAGACATTACTCCTGCAACCAAACTTTGGTTCACATTGAGCTCCGCAGAACAATCAGATACGACAGGGATTTCTGATTATCAGACCTAATGCTGATAGTGATTTGTTCTGAAGACTTCTCTGTGCCCGCTCCATTTGCTTGAATTGATGATTTCTTGATAACATCAAAATAATGTCTATTCCTTGTGGACTCGCGAGCCTGGTAGCAAGAATGCTGTTGGAAAGACTTCTTCAGCCATTCCCCGAATGTGTGAAGCACATCTTTTCATCAGGCTAGTTTACGCACAATGCCCATGAAGTCCACTAGTTGTCATTGAGCGTCACTCTTTACATTCCTGTCTCCTGTGGAGTTGACTGACAGAAGTTTCCCTAGGCTAAGGAGGCTTTATCGGGCTTCTTCAATTTGATGCAATCTTTTACATTCAGTGGTGAGGAACTGGGATGTGCTGCGCTCGTCAATTCATACTTCAGGAGATCTAGCATGCTGTACCCTCTTTTCTCTAGCCATAGTCAATGTACCTAATCGTTTCTGCAGCATCTTTTTCCCATCGATTTCTTCGCTGGGACGGACTCGCTGCTATCCGCAAGGCAAGCGTGCGTCTCCTTACCTCCCCTGCCTCTGCCACGTTTCGTTATGCGTGCCACGTACATATGCGACCACCAGCGTTAATGCCTCGCACATGTACGTTGTGCCACATGCAGGCCCTCGAGACGCGACGTGACCACTACGTCGCCCCGGCGGATCGCATCAGTTCAAACAGACACGCGTTCAGTCCAGAACTTCACTTTAGTGGGAGAGGTCACGCGTGATATCACCGCCGCGCGGAAACGGACGCGTTGCGTCTCGAACTAGAGGTAGTTGAAAAGGGTCTACGAGCGGCAGGTACACAAATATCGATTATGGTGCTTTCAAGCACTGACACAGCCCTACGGCAGAGAGAATATTTAGCCAGACAAAACTTACTATCAGGCTAATCAGATCTAGGCAACGAGCGGTGGCAATTCCACATAGTCATAGTGGCACCATGTGGCATAAGAACAATGGCAAACGACTGTAAGGCTGCATTCGTCCGTTGACCCCCGTGCGATAACTCTCATTCGAGTACCAACGTCGTACGACGGTTCAGTCAGTGAAACCTTAAAGAAGAGGCCAAATGTGCGAGTGAGAAGGTGGTAGGCTGCGGACTACTGGAAAAAATGCAGATTGTTTTAATGCACCACCACTGCAGCCGTGCTCTCTGCGATAGCGGACTACGATACAACACCGGCCAAACCACACCATTCACCGTCAACGCTCCATGCATAGCTAGCCTATATATAAAATATTGTTTGTTTGCGTCACTTGACGGACCCTCCAAAAGGAGGCGACTCAAAATTATTTTTATTGTCATCGTTTTCCCATCCTTTTTTTTACAAGATTGTATCGCTGAATTATAATAAATCTGTAGAATACATTATATTTACCAGCCAAAACAAACATTCCATGTAACAAACCATGCTGATTTGCTAATAAAAAAAAACACTAAAAAAAGAGAAGAAGCCTACCTACCCACCGCAAACTTTCAGGCCTGGTCGGGTTGAGAGGCAAACAAGTTTTTTTAAATTTGTGGCCTTCTGAGAGACAAACAGAAACACCACCGCCACAACGATTGACGCCACTCGCCACCACCACCACCACCTACACCACCACAACGATAGATGGACGCGACCACAAACCGACCACTCACGATGACGCCGACGATGACCACACCCCACCACCACGATGACGACGACGATGACACCACCATGATGACGACGACCGACCACTCAAACAAGCTTTTGTTGACTCTATCTATCGCGCAATGGAGCAAGTCACGTGTCTGTCAAATAGGCACGCACATACATGGGCCTACCACTACGAAAGCTTTGACGCCGTTTTCTATCGGCCGCAACAGCTAGGAAGCTGACTGCACAAGCACGCCACATGCTGGCACGTCACAGTCTGAGAAGCCGCATGCGTCGCTAGATTCGCCCACCTAATCTTTACCGCTCCTTCTGAGTAACGTGGTTTTCCCACGAGAGACCCCGCCGCCGCCCAATCGCCCTGCCGGGCGCCCCGCGGATCGAGAACCGCGAAACCGCCCGGTCCGCCGCCTGTGAGAGTTAGAAGTTACGTTTCACGAAAACAGTCTTGCGTGTTGCGTAGGGATTTATCATGTTAGGTGCTGTCCGCCTTATCCTGAAATCTGGTGTTAACGAACTGCCTTGATTAACTCTCTCACCAATCTTCAACGGGCACAGCGAGTGTCGAACGCGCCTGAGATCCGTCCTACCTCCCTCCGCGCGCGCTATGTCGCTCTCAGCTAGAGATGTTCTCGAAGGTCTGATTCCCAGCGGGCCGGCGGGCCACCCGCGGGTGTGTGTAGTAAAGGATGGATTTTATGCGTTAATCCACGAGAAGCCGGGCATTGGCTCGCCGAAACCGCAACCCCTCAGTGGCGCAATCTTCGTACTACGAACTAATAGAGAAGATTGAACTCATGGATAGTGAGCGTGCGCCTAGTTCATACCTGTCATCTCTTGTCTTCCCAAGTATACACCAGATTGCCAAAGGCAGCCTGAGCCCTGTGACAACATGAAGATCTTTCTCGTGCTTTAGAGGATTCCAATAATGCCTACGTGCTGTGTCTTTTCTTTGTCTAGTCATCCCAATGCATCTACTACCAGCCACGACCTTGGCGCCCGGGCGCCTTTATTGTAACAACTTCTCGAGGCCATGGTCAAGATCCATTACTGCACTGCCTTGTCGGAGAGTGTGGATACAATCACCCAGTCCACCAATCTGTAAAGCATCTGTATGTGATACCCGGGAACTTCCTCTGTATGTCCAGGCAATCTTCAGAGCCGTAACCAGCGTACCCCATTCTGCTGTATAGCTTTGTCGGCCAAACCCGGGGGAAGAACAAAGCGCATGCCACTCCGCACAGCTGAAACAAAAAAGATGCCAATCGCCTTTGCCGAATTAGAGGGTAAGCATCCTCTCAGGATGGATACAGCTCATCCAGAAACAAGCTCCAGTACCTCACATTCTCATTACAGGCCGTTTCTTTTCCATTCTGTGGGGAACAACTCTTCAAGTCTGCATGTAAGATCTTGCTTCTTTCCCAAATCTCTCTGAACTCTGTTGACGGCTCAACATCATAACGCTTGAGCATGATGTAGCGGTTAGGTAAGGGTTCCAGTCGTTTGGTAACGGGTTTCTCAGTAACGGTTAACAACTAGAACAGGAACAAATTAGGAATATTGTAGGCGTAACATGCAGAAATCGGTTTTTGTCTTATTTATCTTCAAAAACCATTGACTTTTGGATATGGAAAACTGTATTTACTGACCCCCATGAATGTGGCCCACATTGCACACATTTTGAAGTTGCCCGTCGGGAGATCCTTTAGGCTCAACTCCGTTCTGTAGATTGTACAATCCCGTGAATGGTAAGTACTGCTCGGCTCAAACAACGCGGCGTGGCCAGAAAACGCATATTTCGCTCGTCAGTGCCGCGCGAAATTTTGTCACCAACCAAATACTGTTCCTGGACTTCAATTAGTTAGACGAGTGGAATTCCTTGAGAGTTTAGGTCCTGGACATAAATTTGCATACTAAAACCACATGAGCTACTAAGAAAAGTCGAGTAGTTGTATCTTATATTTAACGTATTAAATAATCAATAGCATAGAAGTTTTATTAGTAATTTGTGTTTCACTAAACAGAAGATACTTGTTTTACAAACAATCCCGCGTCAGCGTTCACGTTCACGTCCTGTCTCGTTCCAATTCTGCTCCCCCAAATGCTCTCGCGTCCCTTTTTAATATATGAACCCGCCATCCATCACGCGACCCAGTTCCACTCTACCCTAACCAATCACACACCACTCTCTCTGCTTGTTCAAATTATTACGCGGGAGAACATGTGACATCCCATGCTGGCCATCTGATACCACGAGTTCCCAACTAAACATCCGTAGAGCCTATCCGCGTAAAGCTAACCCAAGCCCCCTAACTATTTCTCATACATCGTATGTCTACAACGCCAACCCTTCTCTATTGTCACAACAAAACTATCTACGCATTAGCTAATTCAATGTGTACCTGTACATCATGTAAAAGAGAACGTTCTACTGGAATACAAAAGCATGAGAAAATAAAACACTGTTGAGAATGGTGTTCGAACACAGCTGCCGTTATATTTTAACGAAGCGAACGCTTCTACGCTTGAGCTACTCGGACCTACGTTGAAAAGTAGCTTGATATCAGACCCCAACCTAACCTCTAATACTAACCCTAACCCTAACCCTATCCCTAATTCTAAAATAATTAACAATTAACCAAAATAATTTAAAAATAAAATTAAATAAGTGACATAATTAGCAATCAGAAGAGAGCCGGTTGTTAGTTTTCAGCATGATCCGAAACCGGATCCGGGTTGTTTAGACACTTCCATATAAACCTGCCACTAAGCCATGCCTTGGTAACTGCTGTTTTATTATTTAAAATTAATGTATACTAGTATTACCACTACTAGGTTTAGTACTAGGAGTTGATAGTCACAGCTGATATCAATAGTGTAGCTAATAACTCGAGATTATTTTGGAATGTCAGTATTATGGTGATAAGCACCCCCATAAGCAAGCTTGAGTCACCGTAACACAACCAAAAGTGCTTCATTTCAGCCTGTGCGGAGTTCGGAACGGCTAGCTAGGTGAACTCGACTCGAGTGAGCAGAGATGATTCGCCTTACCATTCAGACAGCTTCTGGCGGCGTCCAGCCACGTGCGGCCGCCCTCGCCTTGCGCCGCCGAGTCTACGACCGGCGCGGCGCCCGAGCCGAGAAAGTCGAAGCTGCTTCATCGACGGGAAACAAGTGCCCTCGTGAACCCCGGCACGACGATCCTCCAAGCGGCAGCACAGGTCTGGCATCGACATCCCGCGCTTCTGCTACCACGACCGGCTGTGCGATTGCCCGGCAACTGCCGCATGTGCCTCGTCGAAGTCCGAGCCGTTCGCCGAAGCGGTCGCGCGCATGCGCGATGCCCGTATGAAGGGCTGCGTAAGGTGAGGACGGACTCGACATGAGCGAAGGCTCGCGGAGGGCGTCATGCGAGTCTCCTGCTCGTTCAACCACCGCTCGACTGCCCGCACTCTGCGACGCAGGGTGGCCGAGTGCGACCTCCAGCGACCAGTCGTATGACGGCTTCGCTCGGACCAAGGGTTCGCTTCACGACGATCAAGTACAGCGGGAAAGGCGCGCCGTGCAGGAGGACAAAGAACATCGGCGCCTCGGTGAAGACGCATCATGAGCTCGCTGCATCCAGGCACGCGGCGCGGCTGAGGTTCGGCAGCGAGGTCGCCCCGGCATCGACGAGTCTCGAACGCCGGGCCGCTGCAACGACATTGGCAGATCGGAAGCCTATCGTGGAGCAAGCTCTTCTGCGCGTGCGAGCTCTCCGAAACGTCATCGAGCGCTTTGTCCCGCGTCGGTGGTTCTCGGACGGTTCGTGCCTATTCCGCAGCTTGTTTATTATTACTTATTACCAATCTTTTGGCTTCTGCATGTAACTTTAACAAGTCATAAAATAGCGCCATTGTGAATATCAAAGTTAGGACGATATGCCTACGTAAACTGCCCTTGTGTAGTTAATAAGTATCATTACCTTATAGCAAAGTCGCCGTATTAGTTAGTCCAATTAGTCACTGCTAATTCCTAAGCAAATGTGCTTAATTGAAAATCCGTAAGATCTGGTAATCTGGCGCCAAACGCTAAATTGTTCGCGCCAATGCAAAAAATAGCCTCGAATTCGTTGTTAGGGTGACGTCACATGTTGCTTACGAGCGTTGGTTGAGCAGAGGGGGAATTTTTGTTTGTCCCGGGATGCTTATAACGACTAATGAGCTAGTAGAATGTATCTCTGGGTGTATTCTTGGTATTGAGGCACAAATAAATAACCGTGGGTGTTAATGAACCATTACCCACATGTCTTCAATTTCGGACACAGGTGTATTCGTTTGACTAATATACGTAAATACGCGTAGTGCCGTCTGCTTTCCACGTTTTGTCTGTGGCCGTGGTTAGTCCGCGATCCCCCCACAGTGTTGGCCCCCAACACAGCCTACTTCATTATCACAAGCGTCCGTGATTCGTACGTGGATTCCACGTTCATTACAATCAGAGCTACTGTTACATATACAGTTACGGTACTGTACTATCGCTAGCATTGCGTACGGCCGAGCATGCGTGCAAAAATGTCCGGTGCACTATAAATCTGTATCACACCCGTTTCGCCGTATGCGGTTTCGAAACTATAAACAAGTCAGTCAACTGATTTCTTGGACTGCGGATTTCAATTAGACATTGCTTAGTAACCAGCAGTGATATTGGACAAACTAATACGCGTTTGGCTATAAGGTAATGTACTTATTAACTACACAAGGTGCCAGTTACTGTAGCATTCGTCAACTTTGCATAATCAATGGGCCTATTATTCCTTTAAGTACAAATACATGTATTGAATAAAGTACATGTATACTGTACTTGTCTTAAGATGCATGTTAATTCGGATAATTAAATGGCATACAGATTTCTGTAGTTAATTAAAAGGCAAATGGTTCGACTCGATATTATTATACTTAGCTTGCCAAAGACGGGCGATGATTATGGAGAGATGAGTGTTACGCAGAAAGAGACAATTTTACAACGATCGTACTTCACTTTTCTTACTCGCCTCGTTAGTAAAAGCTGGATGCTGTTGTCTCGATTTTCAGTACACTGAAGCCATGAACTGTGTGTAGACCCTAGGGACTACGTTAAATGCGTGTTTCGTGCCCCATGTTAGCAACGCATACTAGTGTCTGCAGCAACCCTGACATGTGGTTCTTCTCGTGTCGTTCACCCTGACGTGTGGTTCTCCTCGTGTCGTTCACCCTGACGTGTGGTTCTTCTCGTGTCGTTCACCCTGACGTGTGGTTCTCCTCGTGTCGTTCACCCTGACGTGTGGTTCTCCTCGTGTCGTTTACCCTGACGTGTGGTTCTTCTCGTGTCGTTCACCCTGACGTGTGGTTCTCCTCGTGTCGTTTACCCTGACGTGTGGTTCTCCTCGTGTCGTTCACCCTGACGTGTGGTTCTCCTCGTATTGTTCACCCTGACGTGTGGTTCTCCTCGTGTCGTTTACCCTGACGTGTGGTTCTCCTCGTGTCGTTCACCCTGACGTGTGGTTCTCCTCGTATTGTTCACCCTGACGTGTGGTTCTCCTCGTGTCGTTCACCCTGACGTGTGGTTCTCCTTGTGTCATTCACACCGCGTTTGTGTTGTTCACACCGCGTTTGTGTTGTTCACACCGCGTTTGTGTTGTTCACACCGCGTTCGTGTCGTTCACACAGCGTTCGTGTCTGCCTGCAGGTGCGCTTACGTCTAAGCCGTACGCGTTCACGGCTCGACCGTGGGAGCTAAGGAGGGTGGAGAGCATCGATGTGATGGACGCGATAGGCAGCAACATCGTAGTGAACACTCGTACTGGTGAGGTAGGCACAAACAGACACGAGCGTGCATGCGGGTCTTTCACGCTAAAGGACGCAGTGCGAGTCTAGTAAATGGTTTTTTTACCTAAATATTCCCTGTTGAGATAGGGGTGCGTCTTATATGCCTGTGCGTCTTATGTGCCGTAAACTATAGTATGTAACTATACGCGCGTTGGCAAGGAGTAGGAGTAAGGGCAGACATAATCCATGGCTCATTTATTGTTCTTTTATTATTATTATTCAGTTATTATTATTAGCATTATTATTATTTATTATTAGCATTAGCATTATTATTATTATTATTCATGTATTATTAGCCAGCTGTTTAGTGTGGATTCCTAATGGTGAGTATTCAATTGGTGGTTTTATTCGGAGATTTTCTATAGAGTGGAGGTGGTTGAGAGTAATAATTCCCACGCGGTGTTTGCTGATCGTAATTCCCTCCTCCGCAGGTAATGAGGATCCTGCCGCGCGTTAACGAGGAGGTTAACGAGGAGTGGATCTCCGACAAGACGCGCTTCGCCTACGACGGCCTCGCCCGGCAGCGTCTCACCGAGCCGATGATGAAGGACGAGAGCGGCGCGCTGAAGCCCTGCGACTGGGAGGAAGGCCTTTTCAAGGTCGCCGAGAAGCTGCAGACGGTGAAGGAGGGCGAGACGGCAGCCATTGTTGGTGAGTGGCGGCAGCTGGAGGCCCCTGTCGGATGCATAACTGGAGGAGCGTTTGTGATTTACGTAGAAATTTACATTTTTAGCTCACCTTGACATCGTCAAGCTGAGCTATTGCCATGGGCGTCGTCCGTCGTACGTCCGTCC